GAAAAATGCCCGAGCGTCTCCTCTATAAGCGGGTCTTGGAAAATTACGGACAGATCTTGGACGCTTCACCGAGTGATTATTCTTCTCTATTGTGGAGCCTTCGGCGCAGCGCGAGCATCTCGCCTTGGAGCTTTGCATTGTCCTCTCGTTTGCTCCACTCCGAAAGGCAGACTTCCGGACCAAAAGAATGTATGACAAGGGGCTCCACCCTATGGCCAGCTCCCGGGGAATGTTGGGATGTCCGGCAACGAACTATAGAGGTCCCAACCGTTCGCGAATCGTTCGGAAGGATTATTATTGCCGAGCAGCGTGGAAGAATGAACACGTTTTAAGACTCAGGCGTGCTGCCCGGAGCTCAAACCGACATTGAACAAATTAATCCGATGAAGTCTTCGATCTAAGGTTCAGGTGAGAATGCTACGGGCAGCCACATAGTAATCTCGATTCGATCGAATCTCCGATCCATAGAGATTGATCCTCGCGTTTCACAGCTCTCCGAATCACACCGTCGCTCGCGTGGAAGCCCGTCGAGGGACGCCACGTTGGGCCGCAAGATCGCTATCTTCATGGGAAGGCCTTGATGTATTCATTCCGCTGTCAGAGCTATCTAACTCGGAGCGGTGATCATTTTTCAGGATTGGATTCATTAGAAATTCTTGTTTTCCCGGCTAAAGTTCCAGAGAACGCTTTCCCACGAACATCTACATCCGGGTTGGGTTATTCTCCGTTGTAGCAGGGGACAGTTGAGGCTAGCGAAGCTTTTATCTCGACCTCTGAGTCCTAGTGGAAACTCCACAGACCGAAAATGCGCCTGCGCCGAGGACCTCGGCCTTCGCTTTTCGTTCACTTGGAGCCGACGCTCTATCCGCGGGAGATGCTCCGTTGGACTGACAGAGCCGAGCTGTGACTATTCCAGGTCCGTCGTCGCGGTTGAGAGCTCTTTGTCCCCGTTTTACCATTTCCACTGAGCTCGGGAAGTGAACCACTCTCCCCGACAGGTCCAGGCAACTCTCCACAGACCCGTTTACAAATTGGAATTGATTGTGGCTTCCGCTGCGGGTGAGCTTTCCAGGCAGAGTGGAGACTTTTGTGAACGCGAGATCTCACGAAAGAGTTCGCTTATCCTGCATCACGAGCCAAACTTCTCTCCATTAGCGGAGACGTTTTTTTCTCACTCGGCGGACTGAGCGCGCGGAAGCTCTGTTTGATGCCGGCGAGTGCGTGTGAGGACGTTACAGAGCGGACTTGAGACCGGAGATACTACGTACTTAATGATTGGGGAAATTGAACCGTCGTCGTGTGACATCAGAGTCGCTCCCGAGATTCTTCGATACTCGGCACTCGACAAACCGCGATCTCTCGACCCCGACGTCAAATAGAGCTCTCAGGTGAATTGACTGCGGTACCCGAGAAGTTTCTGCTACAGTTTTCTGCCAGGACCGCGCGACTCAAAGGCTCAAGAGCGAGCGGCCGCGGAACACGATCGATGATTCTGTGGTCGATTCGCGCTTCGCTCGAAAACACTTTTCCCTATCGTATAGTTCTCAAGGTTGGCGTGCGGGGCTCTCCGGAAAGAATTCCATTCAGCTCTCTGTGGAAAGCTTCGGTCAGCGAGACTCGGCCGAGCCTCAAATACTCAGTTTATTCGGGTCGATTTCTGCCTTGAGCTCACAAATACGACGATACCCGGCCGCAGGCGAACAGTGAGAGAAGAGACGGTATCGGTCGAGTGAAGCTCCCGTATTAAGAGCCCCTATTTGGGAATTCGTAAGTAAAGTCACGCGGTCGACGGTATTCCACACACATCCCATACAAGAGTGTCACCAGAGCAGGTTTCGGAGTGGATAAATGGGAAGCGGCACGAATATCGAACGAACGCAAACAATGGCGAAGGGCTTTCAGAGGAAAGCTTTATCATCTTGAATGAGGCTCCATGGAGCTCACTGTGGGCACACGTCACGGCAACAAGCGACCTCGCCTCACTGGTTCTGTGTCACCAAAGATTGTATCAGCTAGCTTTTACGCTGGGCGAAATTATCCGCAAAGACCCACAGCACGGCTGAGTCAAATTTCAGGCGTTTCGTGGAGGAAGTTGTTTCCGGAGCTTCAAATCTGCTGGCCAATACGCCTCAGGGAAGAAATTAGGAAATGAGTGAGTTCGCGTCAGCGAGAGCAACTCGATCCGATATTTTCCCGGCGGAATAATCTCGCTAGAGCTTCCCGTACCGAACGGATTCCGGGGCGAATACCCTCTGGTATTCGGGGATCGGGCGAATGTGGGTCAAGATATCGAATATAGTGGAATTGCGCCAGCCAAAAGCCTATTTCGGTGACTCGACGAATACAAGCTGGCAGAGGAGAATCCTAGGCCGCTCCACCGTGCAAACAATTGTAGTCAATTCTGCTTCAGCCTACTGCGTGTCAGACCCCCTCCGCTTTCTCCGAGGAACACGGATTCCTTTCATGAATTATTCACGCTTTCTTTGCAGAATCGCCTCACGAGAGATACGAGAGCTCGGCCTGGAGCAAGGTCCCCTAATTTGAAGTCTTAATAGAGACAGTGCGCTTCGCGCCACTGTGTATCGATTAGGTATCGTCGATATATGATCATCGAGCGACTCGTCGTTTCTAGCGGTCTCCATGAAGAGCTGTCCTGAGGAGATTCGGAGATTCCGAAAATCGGATTAGCTCGCAGCCATCGATCGGTTGAGGAATCCGAATCGTTTCTCGACTTGCGATGGTGTCGGAATCCGGAGCCGCAACAACAGCGTCGGCGTCGCCACGGAACGTCGAACGAAGAACGTCGATCGCGAGGTTCCAGGAAAACTCGTTCCGAGCCCGTTTCTCCGGCGATGGATGCATTCACAGCACTTCCCAGCTGCGAGTGAGCTGAACGATGCGCAGATTATTCTTCATTCTGCGCATATGCAATCAGCGCATGAAGCTCATGGAGCCTGCGAAGTTGATTCGCTTCCACGATTTTTTTCGCTCGTGAGACGTCACTCGGTGGCTCCGAATTATTTTATCCTGCTTCAGCCGAGTGACCGATCCCCCGACGTGACTCTGATGGATAGAATGATCCGTACCGACATCGAAATCGTTACGTCGCAGATGAGGAACATACTAATCCTCGAAAATGAAACTCAAGTGTGATTTGACGATATAATCGCCGCGGAATCCGTCCGAATAAAAGCTGCGAGTCGAAGCTCGGATCGGACACGAGCGGGAGCGCAAACCCGGATACGTGTCCGATTTGGATCCGATGATCAACCGGAACTGTCTCGTCCTCAGAGCCTGAGACTCCGGCCACGTTTGGGCGCTCTCGGGACGACCTTGGAAAGTATCGGATCGATGAAGTCATGTTCTCTCTGCTCTGTACGATGGTGGTCTAGCGCAATTGATGGGTTCTAGGCCAGCTTTGGAAACGAAGGATTTCGCGATCGTCGGAAGAGGGGGGCGATGTTCACATAAAAGAAGAGTGGTAGCCATAATACGCACAATACCTAGGCCTTGAGACCAGCCCGAGTATTACACGTTCTGAATTTTCTGCCAGTTGGTCCCTTCCGATTGGTTCTTCTGGATTCAGGGGACGAGGTTCCGGTAGCACACAGGGATGAGCTTGGGAATTCCCGCGTCGTGACAGGAAACTACCGGCGAGCTCGTCGAACGCTCGAAAATCGAGAGCTCAAAGAGCCGAAAGTTGATGCCGTGCGCGACGGCGAGAGTCTGATCCCTTTGACGAGGCGGAGTGCAACTTCGACGGATCAATAATGCTCATGTTCCGAGATTCTGATACAAGGAAACCCTTCGACGCAGTTAGCTTCAAAGAGTATCCTCTCCCAGGTACCTAGACTCTGGGATTCTCTCGGTCGAGAGAACCTCACAAGACGCTTCTTTTGATCGGGGACCCCCGCCACAAAGTTGCGATCGGAGGCTTCTTCTCTATGTCAGGGCGACCATCGCATCGGTTTACCATCGAAGCTTGGAGTATCGCTCACGGCTACCGAAGTTCACTCTCAACATGAAAGTTCGCTATTTGGACCGCCTCGCAGAAATCGATGATGTTGTCGTCTGCCAAACGAGTCTTCAAAAGGAGAAGGGAGAGGCGAGATGCAAACTTGATCAAGGGAAATATGCACAATCACTTTACGCTCGGAACTGTCGTCAGCCGACCGTTGATCGATTTTTCCTGCAACTCTCAGATGAGTGGGTCACGGGGACGTCGGGAGACAGATTCGGAATCAGGCCTCCGGTAAAATTGTCTAACTCGAGGGTCACTTTATCGATAGGACCGACAGCCTCTGGACTGAGTCGGATGCGCGAAGCAATTCCGTGCGAATGCAGGGTCTGTGCAAAGTGTGTTAGGCGCAAAACTGCCAAGCTAACCTTTCGCCTGTCGGGGACCGATGTCCCGATGAAGCTTACCGGAGAGACTAACGAATTGTCGACTTTTGCCGTTGCCGTTCTGCATCTTCCCTTCCCCCTAGATACGCTGTCGCTCGCGTCCAATGGGAGGCTGTGTCATAGCGCGGGAGATTTCCAGAAGCGATCCCTTCAGGGAGAACCCCACGATCACTTGAGTATAGGAAGCATGTATGTATTCATTTCCCTATATTTTTCGGGACTGCATTTTCCGGAATTCCGAAAAGCTTTCCATCGCATGTCTCCGCGCTCCCCATGAGTTCGTTTAATGGGCTCCTCAGGCGAGAGTTCATCATCCAAGACTGCGGGGGTGTCGAGGGTCGGAGTTCGACCTTGGGATTACTGTCGACAGCGCACCGTTGTCAACAGAACACTCGCAATTAACGCGGAACCTTTGCTGCTTTCAGTCAGGCGTCGCGAGTCATCAACATCGTAACGGCATTCACAACACTCGCAACGTTGTAGGACGACCCATACGCCGATGATAATCTCTCGTCCTACGTCACGACTGCGTCGCAGCTTCGAACAGCTCAATCGATCTCATCGGCGTAGTTCGTCGTAAGAGTCGCAAATCACCTCTGAGATAACACGAGCGCAGAGTCCCCCCCGCTCGAGCTTAGGAGGTCGTCTTCGAAGACACCGACCCCGAATGAGGATCGCGAATCTCCCCCACCAAGGGAGAGCGGGACGATGAGCAAGAACTCGGAGAGTTGAAATCCATCAACAAGGCAAGCTCGTCAATGGTCGACTAATTGTCGATCTTGTAGCCGAACGTAAGGTGCTAAAATTAATCCACCCTCGCCCTTAAGGCGTCTCCCTCCGAGGAGTCCACCAACGCGGATTTGGTCTCTCTCCCCTCTCGTTTTACGACGACGTAATCGTATATCCCCGGAGCAGCATGAGCAGGAGCTTCAGACTCATGTCGTCCACGGAGACGGAGTACGATACCCGAGATTTCCCGGCACCGTACCAGCCGCGCCAGTTCTCCGGCGCCGACGATTACTTCGAGGGTATCGAGGAGGACAACAGTTCCGGTGGCCGGAACTCCGCTCGAGGACACAGCTACCAGGGTACTTCCCCTCCCCTCCACTCACCGCATCACTCCCAGCTAGAGTCGCAATCGTCGTATCCAGTTCAGTCACCGTATCCCACAGAAACGTTCACGCCGTACGACAACGTTCGGCGGCCCCGTTCCGCGAGCATCCCATTTGTACTTGATAGCGGTCACGACAGACCCTCCTCATCGGCTTCCCACCGCGTTGATCGCGCTTTAGTGGAACAGGACTCACTAACCTCGCCGCAGGGCTTCGAAGAGGAAAACCGCATGAGGCCCGCAGGCCAGCATTATGCCCCACACCCGATGGACAGTCCCGACTCGCCTTCTCGGCGGCATCGGCCCAGGGCTAGAACTCTCGAAGGACTTTTCTTTCAAACCCGCCACAACCGTTCACAATCATACCGAAGCAGTTCGGCTCGTTCTGAACTTCACGACGACCTCGAGAACGACTTCTTCAGACCGCGCGTTTCGACGATGCCCAGTGCCAATCCGAACGGCTCCCCGGGCGAAGAGCAACACTTCTATTTGGCGAGAAACTTCCAAACGAACTCGAAAGGCAAGCTCGTCAATTGCGGCGATTGCTATCGTGAGGGTTCTCGCAGCAACACGTCCGTGAACTCGAGCTCGTCGAACAAATCGTCTCCCGCAGCAGCTTCCGCGGCGGGCGACGGCGGACCCCCGCTCAAGGTCATGATGTTGGGAGGTGTTGGTGTTGGTAAATCGTCACTCGTCTCGCAGTTCACGTCCTCGGAATTCGTCAACGCGTACGAATACTCCTGTGGTGAGTACTACCACCCCCCCTCCTCTCCCAGTACTTACGCCCCCTTGAGCTCGAGACAAAAACCCAGACTCCCATAGGCTGCTTGAATATTCTTTGCGTTCCCCATTCCCGAATCTGCGTGAACGATGCGGAATTACGCATTTGCTGCCGCTGTGAGTTCAATCGGAAACGGAGCTCGTTTCGAGCAGACGCACGTTTCGAAATCGCTGTTTCTCGAGCTCCCCTCATTTTCTTCCACCCCCTTAAATAGCTTTTCGTACGGAGCGAATTTTCATCCCGGCGGGAATCGAACGGCTTCGAAGAGGGACGAACGGAATGAAAAATCGATGTTGATTAGATCGTTCTCTAGCATCTCGGCTTCCTTGTGATTGTCCCGAGCTGTCGGTGTGTTTTGATCCGTCAGGCCATTCCCGCAGTCAGATGTTCGGCGGGACCCGGATCGGAGCCAGGCACGGACCCAAGCGCTCTTCTGCGTCGAGTTTCGAATGGCAATTATTTCTCTCTCGGCAAAAAGAAAGTGACGAGAGCATTGAATCATCTCTGAGGCATCGATGAAGACACTTCAGACGGGCTGCTCGCCCCGTTCGTGAACTCTGGAAAGGAGTCGAGAAGTTCCGCGGTGAACTCGATGGGAAGGCGTGCGCACTGACTCGGGAAGGACAGTGACGAGTTCGGACTTGCAAAACTCGAGCGTCTATTTTTAGACGACATCCTCATTGAGAATGGTGACTGAGCTCATGCGATAAGGCTCCGAGCTCTGAAATTGAGCTCGGTTTAACGTCGCCATGAGATTCATTGTCTGATCGTTCTCAAATTCACCAGGACCCTTCCAAGCATGACTCCCGCCTTTGCGGGAAGCTGTGTACGTACAAACTCCGAGTCGGTAGCGCATTTGCCATGAGCATGCTCCCAGAATCCCCTCTCCATCAGGGGCCAAAGCACTTCTTGCTTCTCAGCTGGCAAATCGCAAATTGTAAACAAGCCACGGAGGTATGACGGCCCGCTAAAAACTCTTGTTTCGTCCTTGCTGACATCGAGTCGAGGTAAACCGCATTAATAATTGACCAATTCAGGTAAAGGCTCGCCTGGGTAAATGTTGCACAAAGGCCCCCGACTCTTCGTTATTTGAGAGAGAGCTCGGAAGCTCGATGAGGTCGAGCCCCGAGTGAATTCTCTTCTCGGATCCGGGGAAGTCTCTCTCGAAGCTTCTCCTCGTTGCAGACTGTGCTACATGAGAATTGACTGCGTATTGACTTTCGCATTGTGGGATTCTTCTGGAAGCAGTTTGCCACATGTCTCTCCGGAAAGCTGCATCGAGGCTTTTCGAGAGACTCGAGTACAGTAGTTCGGGAGTGATGTGCTCGCCCCGTTTCCACCTACATTGTGGGTCCCAATGATTAGGGATCGACCTCCCAGAGAAGCCTACGAGTCGACTTCATGTTGGATCTGTTCAGGCAGAGAAGGCCCTCCCGTCTGCCGGCCGATAAGGGTCTGAAACGAGCCCCGATCCTGGACTGGTGTCTCGTTCGAGGTCTTTATCTGCGTGGTTTGCCACCGCAAGCATCCCCGAAGTTTTACGTTTCTCCTTTCGTAAATCCCCTCGATACACACTCGGAGAGATTGTCTTTTAACGGCACTATCATTGCGGAGAGGATATCTGTTCGTTGGGCTCTTCCCTAGTCCCTGATACGTGCCCTATCGCTACCCCCTAAGGATCTTGTGCAATGGGCATGACAATAGCAGCGTCTATTAGGTGCTATTTCGAGTCCTGTCCCAGAGTAGTTGGGAGCCCAGGAAGTCGAATGAAAGTCCAAGTTGGGTTTCTTGTTTGCTCAATGCTCGGGAGCAAGAGAAAGGAAACGGGTCAATGGAGCTTCGAAACTTCTAGAATGTCCCGGTTTCCCGACTTTCAAACGAGCTCACAGCCCCGAAATCCCTCCCGGCCAGAACGAGAACCACCAGTTCATTCCTGTCGAGTATCTGGGATGGCATCGATCAGGGAAGAGCGACCCGCTCTTCGGTGTAACTCTCCCTATATCGCAACCGGAGAGCCTCCTCCAGAGTCAACAACAAAGCGATAGGCTGCGATATTCGGATTGAGGAAACGATCAATACACCTCGCTTTCTCCGAAGCGAGTTTCTTTGCCGACAGAGGTGAAAAACGAGAATTTCTCCGCGGATGGCTCTTTTCGAAAGAGCCCGCAAAACCCTCTCCCATCGGAATGTCTCTTGTGTTTCCCTCCCAAGAATCCACTCGAGGATGGACTCAGAACGCCGAGACCGCCTGACTAGAGGATACGCCCGAACGTGCCAACGGTGAAAGCTTGACACACGGAAATGAAATGAGGAGTCTGAGCTGCATGACAGAGGGAGAGACTCCGCTCCCAGGGGTCTAACTTAATGATTCCATCCCCTGTCTCCCCGGATGAAGACGCCATTTACCAAGCCGCATATTCAACGATTCATTTTTCATCTTCCCGGCCCGCACAGTACCCTTGAATATTTGAAAAAGGAATCCCCCGCGCCCGCTATTGATGATGACGCCAGCGTCTTTCTTCAATTTGTTGTTCTTGAAAACTTCCGGATTCCGTCACGCCTCTTCCTCGCACCGGATACTCCTGGGAAACGGCGCTTCGGAAATTATTTCCGTCGTATTTCGGTGTACTTCGTGTCTAGAGGGACCATTTAGTTACACACGGGCTCCCCGCTCGAAGATCCCGTTTGGAGCTAGAGCGTCTCACGCGCGCTGGGCAACGAGACTCCACCTGGAGTCCAAACTCACCCGTTAGTCGAGCGGGAGGACATCGTTTAAAACATATGTGTAGTGTTGTGGTCGGGGAGAGGTATCTCCCATCTCTGCTGAAGTATCAGCGAGCCGCAAAGTGAGGAGGCCAGGTTCAAAACTTTTCCGCGCAGCCCAACTCGAGGAACCCGAGCCGCGTTTACGAGAGTCTCTCACTCCGCGAGCTCCGAGGGAATTCAAGGGAAGCTCCGTGTAGCTCTGGCATGGGTTGAAGCACATCAATGAGAGCGAAGCAATCTAAATATATTCAGGAATCGCTATCAAGATGCTCTAGTGAACAAAAAACTCGACCAACAAGCTTGTTTTTACGGCTTCGGCCGATCTTGTCGAGGCTGGTTGAGACTGACACGATCATCCGCAAGACCAAATAAGGATTCCCTCGGTCACCGCTCCTTTGCGAGAGCCATGCATGAGGTCGCAAGGTCAACGAGCGATGATGCTTGTGGAGCGATGCGAAAAGCGTGACAAACTCCGGCATGTGCCTGTCATCAGAGTCCAGCCCGCCGGCTGCATATTGAGTCGGAAGTGAAAATCATTAATTGGATGAGAAAAGCATTCCGGGATTCCCTTGACGAATTCGCGGTCTCGAGCGAATCGCATAGCTGATCGAGAAATGTCATCTGCCGGAAATACACATAAACGAGTAGCGTAAACGCATGACTCCGGCGGCCTTGACGTGGCATACGTTCGTCTCCCACGCTGATCGGAAGACTCGTTTCTATTACAACGTCGCAGTCGCAATCCGAATAGACGTGGCTTATAACCGTAAGATGAGACCAGCGGTCTCTAGTACGCAGCGTAGACGTTCTCGATGTTTACGAATGACTCGATGAGCCCATTTCTCGACCTCATTCACTCGCCCCCTGGTAAGCCAGCTTCGCGAACCGTAAAATGCTGCCGAAAGCCGCCTCGAACTCATACCCTGCTCGTCCGCTCTATGGAGATCGATTCCCGCGAATCTCACGCGGAATCTCCCGCGACAGGAGTCGTCCCCGCCCGAGTCCCGTCAGTCCGCACTCCGAGCATGATCTTCTGGAAGAATGTTGGCTGACGTCTACGGATGACGCAAATCGTCTACATATCAAATTCGTAGATGTTCTGACCCCGACCAGCGGTGGTCGTGGAGAGTTCGGAGCTCGGAATGCTCTCGAGCGAGCGACGAAAACGCGGGAGAATTTCTGGCGACGGAATTTACGGAGGATTCGCTCCGGAATTTCCCGTAGGGCATCCGACCGAAGTTGACGATGAATCTCTCTGCAAGCTCAATCCTCATCATGAAGGCTGCACGGTACCAGCCGGAGCTTGATAATAAGGACTGTGTCACCTACCTGCTGTTGGGAGAAAAACCTTGAGATCCCGGCCGCCGCTTTCGGCGAACATCAAAAGTTCGCTGCGGTCGTCTGCTTGAGCAAGGTCGTCGAGCACCGTTTCCGGAGTCGGCCGTGAACTAAACTTTTGCCTGAATCTTTGTTCGCGATGGAACCATCGGAGCGGACAGAGAGCGGGGATATCAAGACGATCCGAGGATCCGTTCCCGCCGTCATTTCCTCGTCACCTACGCGATTCGACGGCTCCTGTCGTCAGAACTCCCGCTGCTCGCCATAATTCCCGAGGAAACAGACTGATTTCTGCGGTCTAGCAGTCCGCACAAGTATATTCGCATTGACGATCGCTTGGACACCGAATCGAGGGGAGGGAATACCGATCGATTCTTGCCATTTTTTTCCCATCTCATGTCTCGGAAAAACTTACATAGTTTCTGAGCTAAGCGTAAGGAATCGCAAGGAAATGCAGAAAATACCATGATGATGCCGGGATTCACCTTCACAACCAGCGTACGCTTTCCCGTTCTTGCAGACGAAGAAGAGATACGGCCTGTATCGGTTATAATTGATGATGAGGAATACTACTTGAGCTTCATAGATCACCCCATCTGCTCGGACCTTTCGGTAAGTCTGTCGAAAACGGAAGCGAACTTCCGAGAGCATTCTTCGTAGGTAATGACGCTGCACGGCGCTACGTAGGCTTTGTTCAAATCGGTTCTGGACTCTTCTTGATCTTCCAAGTTCGGAGGCGATTGCCCCACGCTTTGGGTCAGTGTCCTGTTTCGAGTATAGTTGCCCCCCGGCAAATCGAAACAGGAAAGTTTTTTTCGATTTCGTTATTCAGCTCCTTCCGCTCCTGCGTGGCACAGATTCTCGATCACTCATGGAGTGTTTCTGTAGCGCCCACGGTTTTTGAAAGAGAAATGAGAAGAGTGAGAGAGGCAACCACGCAAGCCCTCGTAGCGTATGAAAAATTTTGAGGAAACATCGGTGGGCGAATTTAGCTCCGAAACGATGAGCTCAAGCTCTGGGGAGCTCGGACGCATCCCAGTCCCGAGAAAAAGACCCACGCGGTTAATTGGTAAGTTTCTCGGTCAAATTCGCTCATTTATATTCAAATTAGAATTCACGCCATCCAGGCTGTATGCTTTGTTGTCGCATCGCCGCGGCGGACGAGCTGGTTCAAACTCAGTCAGGAAAAAGCTTCTCACGCTCGGTTCTATGCGACTCTTTCTCTTGTCGAGTCCTGGGTTCTCCATCCACGGTAACAAGCTCGTGGTCGTCGCAACTAGGAGCATGAATAAATCGAAACTTCGCCAATGCTCGGAAGAGGGGACAGTCCCGGGACCCTCAACAATTTCAGAAATAGAACCGAGCGTGAGAAGCTTTTTTCTGACTGAGTTTGCGTCTGGGAATGAGTCCTCCAGAATCCGTGATCCGCGATAAAATGTCGGAAGAGTCGGAATGAGGAGCTGGTCTGATTGGATCAGGAATCTCGTATTTTCCGCGCCGCATCCCGGTCGAGAAGCAATGTCAAACGTCGGTATTTGCCATACTGACTTGGTGCTGTACGATGCGATACGATGCTTGCGTGCAGTCTACGCAATTCTGTCCCACAGTCTCGAATCTTCTGCGTTGTAATCATAGACTCAGGAGTTAGAAGCGAACGAGGGGATCGCGGAGGGATGATGAGTCGGGATCCAAAGAACTCCGTGTACGAACATACGAGACCTTCCGACCGAAACAGTCGAGGAATCCACCGAGATATCCATCGAGGGTAGAAGAAGTTCCTCGACGGCTTTGCGAGACACCACTGCTGAACAAGCAGGGGAGGAATGTGATAGGAACTCCGAGCTCCTGGTTGCGACAGAGGCGTTGGTGAAGCGTATTCCTACATGAATATTATATTAACCCCCGGAATAACATCAGCCAACGTGGACGCAAGTCTGACAACAGGGGAAGCTTTCTCAGAACATGCCATCGCGTAGTGTCGACTCTAGATGTGACCTGGGGACAGAATAATGAGATTTCTCTACCGAATTTTCTTCCAGCACCCAGGATCGGCTGAGGATCAGGCGACTGACGCAGACGCGTATCTTGTTGTTTACTCGACAACAGACGCAGGAAGTTTCCAGAAAGCAGAGGACCTTCTGAATAAGCTCCGACAGAGAGGCGAAATACACAATCGAGCCGTGATTCTGGTGGCGAACAAATGCGACCTTGCCCGATCTCGAGAAGTCTCAGAAAGCAGTAAGTATCGATAAATTCTCGAGGAGCAGGCAGCAAATAGGAACGGGTCTCCTGTCCCGGAGCGGGCAAGAGAGTTCTTCGAATACCGTATATTTAATTGTGACAGGGCTCCGAAGACCCCTCGTACGCTTCGGACACCAGCCTCAGCCCCCTGTAGCAGGAGTTTGCGTTCCCGAAGAGGGGCGTGCTGGCGGCGGGAGCCGCTGCAAAAGGGCGTTGTATTCGAGAATTTCTGGAGAACGAAGTCTGCCGCCCTCGACATCGTATTACTCTCCCGAACAATAAAGACTTGAATCGCGGGGGGTTGCTACCGTTCCGAAGTCCATTGGCTTGTCGACGAGTCTCGATCACTTGTCTTCCGAAACCAAGGTCAAGTCCTTTGTAGACGTCGGAGGGAACAAGATTCATACGCCGCGCCGCGAAAACTCCTAGACCAATTGCGACGAACGATACAATGGGAGAAATTCTGAGAGAAATAGATTGCAGATTGAGAGATAGGCGCAACAGCATCAGGAGCTTCACGGGAACCTGTGGACGGACTGAGGAGCGGTGTCGGTTGAGCAGCCCAAGTAGATTGGAGGGAGGAGAACGACTGTCACGTACGCGGCTTTCTTTTGTCAACGAAGGACGCACGATCCGCCTGGAATGCGGAGCGACATCCGCAACAAGACCGCTCCCTTCGTTTGGAACCCTTCCCGGTTTCTGTTCAGCGTCTCGGTTCGCTGCGGGAAATTTCCAACAAAATAACGGTGAAATGAATCTGAGAATATTGGGTTCCCGGTGGGAGGCGCGGTTTATACATTTCGGTCGATACCCGAGGGAGGAATGAATCGAGGCAATAGCGACCGTTTTTCTTCCAGCCCCGATTAAAAAAGTGAAACGAGAGAACTGCAATCAAAGCAAACATCTGCAGCGTCTCCTTTCGGCACCACACCGGTATCGGAACTTGAATCTCCGCCCGTTGTGGATTCAGGCCGGATTTCTTCTGCTGTGCATCCAATGTCAGCAGCGACTAGCGCCAAATGCACTCCCGTGAACAACTGATTAACACCCCCCTACTGATGAAGCGCGACTGTCCGTGATCGCACCTACTGATGAAGCGCGACCGTCCGTGATCGCAGACGTCTTCAGAAACTCTTGAAATTCTCCTCAGAGCAGAGAAAACGGCAGGGGGACCTGAGATTTGACTCCTCTCAACTGTCGAGTCTGTCTACTAATTTAGCGCTATCGGAATCAGGTGCGATCCATCGGCAGCCAGGATATTTCGGACTGCTTCGAGCAATCGCTGAA